TACTAACAGAGAATGTAGCGTAGAATCTTTAAGTAATTTTAAACTGTTTGTCCTCGTTTTAGTGTAGTGTTTTCTACAATTTTATGTTATTTTTAATGTTTCCACATTCTACGCTTGCCGGATAGTTTACATTTTGACGAAATGCCCCTGAAGATGCTATTTTAAGCGAAAGTACTTGGGCTAGATTTAATTAACTTGTGCTCGATAATAGCCTTATTTTCAAAGTTAATAAAGAAAAATTCTAGACCTAACTACGACATGACAGCCCTGCAACATCCGAAAGTTAAAAAGCAAGTGGGGGAATATATTAACAACCAAGTTAAACAACTAAAAGAAGAAAATAACATCCAACGAGAAATCAATCAGTTCGAAGAAATAAGTAAGAAAACTAAACAAGATCTGGTAAAACCAAACAAAGAAACAAAGAAGAAATCTTGGATGACTCCAGAAATCCTTCACTTAATGGAACGCAGAAGGTTAATTAAATTAAATAAAGATGAATATAAAAAAATGCAGGCTTACATCAGAAGAAAAATAAGAGAAGCTAAAGAAAAAGAAGATGTAGAGAAATGTAAAGAAATAGAAAGACTACAAGCCAAGCATGACAATTTTAATGTACACAAAAAGGTAAACGAAATCTCCTCCTCTTGGAGCAAGAATGAATAATTTGGATCACGGCTATCTTCAATAAAATATACAATAAAGGAATCATCCCTGATAAATGGCTAGAATCAGAATTCGTAGCGATACCTAAAAAACAGGGGGCTAAAAAGTGCGAAGAATATCGAACGATCAGCTTAATAAGCCACATGTTGAAACTGTTTCTTAGAATCATCCATGGAAGAATTTATAAGAAGTGCGAGGAACAAATATCGGACAGACAGTTCGGCTTTATTAACGCAGTGAGTACCAGAGAGGCACTTTTCGGAGTACAGGTACTGATTCAAAGATGCAGGGACGTTAGGCATTTGACAGAGTTCAACATCAAAAGATGATAAACATTTTAAAAGAGGTAGACCTGGATGACAAAGACCTCAGAATAATTTCACAACTCTACTGGAATCAGACCGCATACATGAAAATTAAAGGAGAAGAAACAGATCACATAAAAATACCACGTGGAGTTAGACAGGGATGTATCCTATCGCCGTTGATATTTAATATGTACTCAGGGAAAATTTTTAACGAGGCTCTTTACGGAATAGACGAAGGCATCCTTCTAAATGGTGAAAGAGTAAACAATGTTAGATATGCCGACAACACCATCGTGATAGCAGATAGTGTAGAAGAACTTCAGAGGCTAATGGATAAAATAAACGAGTACAGTCATCAGTACGGACTAAACATTAATACCCACAAAACGAAACAAATTATTATCAGCAAGGAGAATAGAAACGGGGCTCATCTATACATTAATGGGACGCAGATAGAGCGAGTAAAATAGTATTGTTACCTGGGAACTACTATTAACGAACAGTGGAGCAATTTACAGGAAATAAAGTGCCGCATGGGAAAGGCAAGAACGGTCTTTAACAAAATGAGCGCCATCTTCAAAAGTCACAACATATGGCTTGATACAAAAATGAGACATTTGAGATGCTATGTTTTCTCTGTGTTGTTTTACGGGGCGGAGGCATGGACGCTTACAGACATTACTATTAAAAAACTTGAAGCATTTGAGATGTGGCTTTATAGAAGAATGCTGAGAATATCATGGACAGCAAGGATCACGAACAAGGAAGTTCTAGGAAAAATGAAGAAGGAACCAGAGATTGTGTTTACAATCAAACGCATAAAATTGCAATATCTGGGACACTTTATGAGAAATGAGCACCGTTACTCCCTGCTACAGTCTATAGTGCAAGGTAAAGTCAAAGGTACACTAGGACCCGGTAGAAGGAGAATATCATGGCTGCGGAATTTAAGAACATGGTTTAAGAAAACCTCAACGGAGCTGTTTCGAGCCGCAGCGTGCAAGGTTATGATTGCCAATATGATTTGCAACATCCGAAACGGATAGGAACCAGGAGAAGAAGAAGAAGTCCATTCGAAACAAGAGATGAAAAGTAGGGAAAATGATTTTAATTAAATAAATAGTATTACAAAAGATAACTTTATTTTATATTATTTTAATTACAGTAACGATAGTTTATTTGTTTTTTAAAATATTGATTAGTTAAATCATGCATTTTGCCGGCTATTAAATATTTAAAAGAAAATAAACGGACACCTTGGAATTCATATATCTATTTACTAATTACAACTTAAAATAATACGGTGTGCGTATGTCAACGAATTTATGTCGTTCTCTGACTACATAATGATAATAAGGCTTTGTGGTTCTTTAGTAGTTATTCTAACTGTACAGTTAAATGTTAATTGAGAATGAAAATTTAAAAATTAAGCAGAGGGAATATCTTGGACATCCGTGCAAAAGAGAGTGCCTGAGAACTTTGGCAACACTGGTCTCCATAAGCGTAATGTTATTTTCTTAATTTGAAACAAAGTATAGTTAAATTAGGCTCGATGAAAGACCATGTCTTGACTCACGATTAGTTTACCGTGAGATATATTTGCTATAAAATATTATTTTATTAAATTAAAATAATATACAACAACAATTTTCATAGAACAATTTATTGCTTACTATACATGTTTACAGAATTGAGATTTATTCGATACTACTTAAAATACATTACAAATGCCTAACAGAAATCCCTATTTGAGGGGGGGGGGCGTTACTAAGAAATATATAGTTTTATATTAAGGTAAAAAAGTAAATTACAAAATCATTCACATTGTTCTTATCAGAACGATATACAGACGTAGCGGATGCGACAACAATAGCCGATGGATTTGCCGGGTACATACTTCTCATAATGTCCACAAATGGAAGTCAAACTTTTTTCTCTACCTCATTCATTGATCCCACAAAAGCTGAATTTTTTGTAAGAAGTCTGATCTGTGGTCCATCAAAGATTCCAGCTTCAACTTTTTCCGTACTTATCTGGTGCAGCTTCTATCTAAGTACAGTTAAACCAAGCTCTCAAATAATTCAAGCAGGAGATGCGTCTTCTTCCGCGACTCCTTCTACCCTCTATTGTTCCTTGCATTATTAACTGCAACAAGATATAACGCTTGCCCCTCATAACATGTCCCAGATATTGCAGTTTTCTGACTTTAACTGTATTTAAGACTGTATTGCTTCATTAGGACTGGGCAAAAATGTTTATTTGCCCAATTACCAAGTTGTTTTCTCTTAGGCAACTCATTTTTGGTATGTTTTTCGGTCCTTACTATCGCAGAAGCACAGGAAACAACGATATTTTGTGTAGCCGCTTCGCTGCCCAAGAAAAAAGTTCACCATTTTCTTTTAAATTAGCAATTGATATTGAGCCAAACTTGTTTCCATTGTGAAGCAGAACACATTTTAAACTGTGCTTGGAGCTATCAATAAACAAACGCAATTCATTTGCATCGTAGTGTGGAAGTTCGATTTTTTCCAATAGCCTCTTAACTGTCTTAACGTCCAAAGAAGAAGTAAGGTTTTCTTCTTGGTTAAAGAACGGTAGCAGTTCCTTATCCCTTGTTCGATAAAAAGTAAGTTTTGTGCCTTGTTTCAGTAAATTTTTATCATTTAATCTTGAAGCCAGAAGTTCCGACGCTTCCTTCGATAAGGCTAAATCTCTAACAAGATCGCTTAGTTCTTCTTAACGAAATAGTTATGGGTTCGCTATTGCCCCGTCGTAATCACTACCACTGTCTTTATTGAAATGAGAAATATGTTAAGAAATATCACCTTCATCCTCATAAAGGTCGATTCAGACACATCAGTCACGTCTTGTCACAGTCCTGGCGCCGAACCGAACAATCCGTCATTCAAAATATTCTTTAATAGAAATATGGCGCCGGCATTCACATTCATCAGTTGACGAACAGTTTGCCAGCTGTCAGATAGTTGATAGTTCTGTGACCAAACAGGATCGGTTCGGCGCCGAGACTGTGACGGGACTGATGTGTCTGAATCGACCTTAAATGTCAGGTGTCAGGTAACTTTTGGAATACTGTGGAGTGGAGTGGGGAGTAGATGAAGGCAAAAATAACAGTCATCAACATGGTTTGTAGGTTCTCTCCATACACACGCCAAACTTAATACTTTTTCTTTTTCCTGTGGTCCACTGTCGTAAGTGTATGTCAAGAACACGAAAATTGGAGGTTATGTACATTTTTACGAATATCTAAACAGAATTGACTACAACAAAGACAACAATATCAGTAGTAAAATGTAGCCATGTAGCGAATATTTATTGACATATTTTTACTAACTGGACTTAGTCATCGACAGATACAGGCACTAATAGTAATTTTGAAGCACCTAGTATTTTATTAGGTGAAGGCTGAATGGGTTTACAAGTGGTAAATGTATCATTTCAAAAGTTTAAAAATACTTTCCGAGCTGTTTTATTTCCTTGTAAAATAGTAATGTAACGACATTAAAATATTATTTCTTTCATAAATAAGGCATAATTCAGTGAAAATATCAAATATACTGAGGAAGAAGTTTAATTAACAATATATAAATATATTCCTTTGAATAGCATATTCTTTATTATCTCAAATATTAAAACTACTAATTTCAAAATGTGCCATATCCATAAAACTAGAGCTGATACAAAAAAACGCAATCCCTATTTCGAGCTATCGTCCCTAATATAGTAAAATCAGCTTAAAGACTTACGGCACCAAAAATTTTTTTCTGTATTCCTGTGTTATTTAATTGTTGGAATTTTTCTTTATATTCCTAGTCTGTAGTATTATTGTAAATCAGTTTTTATCTCATAAAAGCTAAAAGCTTTGTAATTTTATTAATCTTTCTTAGAGTATAAACCATTATTTAAATCATTCCAAAATATGCATTTAATCAAATAAGTGTTTTCGTGTGTTACTTGGTAGAATATCCAGATGTTGAACTGCTAAAACAGAAAGTTTTTATGTTTTAGGGCAAGGAAATTCTGATATATTCAACGGCATTATGTTTGCAAATAATCTTATATTCCGACCCGGAGTTTCAAGAAATTTTGTGTTGGTGCCTTGTTCTGAATGTAACAAGAACAATATGCTAGTAAGTATCTTTAATGAATTCACCTAAAAGTTTCATTAGCAAGCAAAGCTCTGCATTTGAGAATTAAAATTCTTGAAATATGATACATTTTAATCTTACCTTAAGGTATTAACATTAAACTAACATTTTTGTGTAATAAATTTAACTGTGGTTAAAACAAAATCTTTTACATTTTACATAATTACATATTACCATAATAACAGGATTACGATATCTAATGTTAAGTATATCAAATATATGAACGAGCTACGGGCTAACCCGATGTATACATCGGCAAGCAGGGATCACTTCTGTGGTGTTTTTCACTCTTCAGTCAGCGTGTGAAGTAAGTATATTAAAATATTAAATCAATGTTCCTATGATATCTCAACGGTTATTATTTTTTTTTGCTTTCTTCTCATGTTTGTGTTTGTAAATTAGCACCGCAGACTTTTGAGCATCTTACATCACCCAATTACCTAGTTTTACAGTTCTCAGCGGTTGTTCCTATGTCATTATTTTTATTATATCTAATTGTAGTGCCCTGGATGCATGTCTTGCCTATTATAAAAGAACTTATTTAATTTTACTCCAATAATGTCTTTTTCGCCGACATTTTCTTGAATACTTGTCCTAAATTTTTCATTCACTACTATGTCAAAAGCTTTTTGTATGTACTACAAACGGAGCTATCTCGCTTTTAAATTAAATAAGGAAAATCAGACCGAAAAAATATAGAGAAGGATACGGTTGGCTTATGTATCATTCGGAAAACTTTCCTATATACTAAAAAATAGAAAATACCCCCAATATTTAAAAATCAGAGTCTTCAACCATTGTATACTTCCTGTTCTTACCTACGGTTCTTAAACTTGGACGTTGACAAAAAAAAAACATGGAAAAAGTAGCAAAGACCCAAAGAGCCATGGAAAGGCAAATGCTGAACATCAGGTTATCAGACAAGAAAAAAAATACTTGTATCCGCAACAAAACAAAAGTGATCGATGTATCAACGCAGATAGCAAAACTTAAGAGGAAAATCGCTGGACATACCATAAGACAGGAAGACGACATAGAATAAGATGATTATACACTGGAGACCATATAGTTACAAACGAAAAAGAGGAAGGACACAAATGAAATGGTCAGATAACTTGAAGAAACACGCAGGCCCAAAGTGGATACAAATTGCCTACAATAGAGAGATGTGGAAGAAGAAATAAGAGGCCTATGTCCAAAATTGGACAGCAAGGCCTGTATAGATAGATAGACAGAGACGCGGTTATTAAAAGTAGCTGATTAAAGCGCGGATTACTAGCAATAATTCCAATTTTATCACCTATTATATAATTTGATTTTTTCTTACATCTTCTAAACAACTATTTAATGGAGTAGTCAAGTTACCTGTAGCGTTGTTTGTGTTTGGTGTAGTGCAAGAATAAGTATGTAAATACGCGCTAAACTTTCGTACGTATCGACATTCAAAAGTGTTACAGTACACGACATGTTACTAAAACAAAAAAAAAACAATATACTATATATTCTTAAACTCTTCTTACCGATTTCTAATAGATTAGGATTAATTGATTTATTATAAAAATAATGGGGTTACTCACTTGTGGTAAAAGGGTCATACTACAAAGGACTAATAATCAGCATTGAAACATCAGTACAAAGCGCTTGTAAACAAAATACAGACGAACAATCATTAGAAAACGAGGGTATAATATTTAATACAAAGCCTTGTTGTGTTAGCTACAAAGGTTATACATAAGCAACATAAGCATTCAAGTGGCTTGAATTAAAAGAGAGCAATCTAAGCACGTTGACGCATGACCACATTACATCGACACTGTATTAATTTTGTTATATAAGCAAATTTAACAAATAAGATGTCTATCTTGTGCAACTTCTTTATTCACGTCAGGTTCTTCGTTTACTCCAACATCTATGATCACACAAATGTCTGACAGAAAACAGAAATACTCTTTATATTTATATATAATAAAAGGCCTATCACTTACCGACCATTTATTGACTACCACCTCGCAGATAGCTAACAAGACTTCATCGTTTTTACCAGTATAATAAAAACCTAAAACAGCTAATACTACTGACATTATGGGCAGAGAAGGTGCCCACTATCGAAAGATTTTAGTCGCTGGACGATTACTGGATAATTCAGATATAAAGGTATCATTTTTAACAAAATATTTAAAAAAAGCCTCTATAAATACATGAGTTGTTAGAAAAATATTTTACTAGGAATGTATGGTTGTTAAAAAGATGCTTACCACCTGGTATGTTTCTCATTTTTTCAGGTACCATCCCTGACAGTCCTTTTAAAATAGCCACCATGGTTGTTCTCCTAGGCTGTACGACACTTAAGGCACCGCAATGACTCAAGCATCATAGGTGGTCTTGTCATTTTACTAAAATGAAAAACAAGCTTTCAATAACAGTTGACTGTTAAGACAGTGAGTTGTATGCGGAACAGAGACAGAGAGCCAAACAGACGCTGAAACACTAACGAACTATGAAGATCAGGGGTCACCAACTATACTCTCAGAAGGTCTGTTTCGAAAACCTACTGCACTTTTGCGGTCCAAGACACTTAGCACTAAACCAGGCAGAGGCGTAACTGAGGAACCCTCCAGTAGTTGTAACCCCCTCACCACTCAGGGGATCATCCTCGTTACTTAGTTGAAACCAGGCAACTAGGCCACTTCGTTTAGGAAGGGTTATGAAATAAACTCAAGGAAAAAGATTATTATAAAGCTTTTAAAGCTGGGTAACATCAATATATTTATTACTATCATAAACGGATTTAAGAAGAGAGATTTATGGAGAGAGAATAACTTTGAGAACTGGGTAACATCAATATCTTTATTACTATAACAAACAGATTTAAGGAGATGAAACTACAAAATATCTGCCTGAATATCCTCAGAAAAATGTTCAATCTTTAAAAAAAATTTTAATATCCAACAGAAGTTCACAAACAAGTTTTTCTTTGCATTATAGTTTTAAATCCAAGAAGTTCAGATGTCTGACGATATCCGCCAAAAATGCAATCGTTGCAATGTTTTCTATGTCTAATAGGAAGCCCAAATGGTCGTTTGCAGCTTTATTATCAATAGTGGACAGAAATTCCTTTATGTTGTCAAGTACTGCAAAGAACTTTTTAAGCACTTAACCTTTGCTTACCCATCTCACGTTGTTATGAACAAGCAACTCGTCAAACTGAGTATAAGTGTCGTCTAGGAATGATTTGAATTGGCGATGCCTCAAAGATAATTTTCCACGTATAAAGTGCACTATCTTCATGACGGTTTGCATTTTATTGTGAAGATTAGGATTGAAACTGCAACACAACACATTTTGATAAATAATACAATGATACGATATTAGATTTCCATCGAACATGGGATCTCTACTTATTCACTGAACCAAGACTTTTCTACACCCCACCATCGCTGCATCGTTATCCGTAATAATCGATCTTTTTTTAAATCCAAACTATCCTTGCCAAAATAGTCCACCACAGCCTTGTGTAAATCTCTCGTAGTAGTTCCTGACATTGGCAAAATAGTCAAAAGTTCTTCAACAAACTCTTCACTGGTTCTGTCCAGATAGAGCACGAAAATGACAAGCTGCCATGTCGCAAGACTCATTCAATGCCAAAGCAAAATATTTAGTGACAGCCAAGATTTGTTTTAACGTTTTGTATGTTTCATCTGCCAATACCTGTGTATTCCTTGTGCTTGAAGTAGATATTGGAATACGCTGAATAGTATCGACAACATCCTTTTTATTTTCAAACAATGAATTTTCTGCTTTCAAAAACACTCTTTAACGATAGCGGCATCACTAAATGGATTCATATGTTTGGCAATCGTTCAGGAAATGCGTAAAGAAGCCTCAGAACATTATGCTACATCAACAGATGATTAAACATATGTAGCATAATTTAAAAGTAATCTCTCTAAGTTTACTTTTACGAATTAGAGTTCCTATTTTGTATTTTTCGTCAAATATTTTGTTTTGTTTCGTAATGCCGTTTAACATTCCTACTTATAATTATTGCCACAGTCTAATGGCAAACAATCAGGTACTGCTCTAACTTGGTTTGGCAAAGTGAAACAATATAAAGCTGTCGATTCAGGTTGAAACTACTTGTTTTCTGATTCAATTTTTCTTTCCTTCTGATCCATATTGATATGAATGTAAAATATAAACAACGCTAGAACTATATAGAAAACAACACTTGAAAGTATTAACTAGAAACACGATAAAAAGAATAAAAACGTAAACAACACTCAGAATGACGACTGATCGAAGAGTGCGATGTGACAAGCAAAACTGAAATTGAGCCTAGAATAGGGATGCGCGATATTCATCGATGATTGATTGATAAACATCGTACTCCTTGGCCTGATGGTGGATGTTTTACCATCGATATTTAGGTATTCGATAACGTCGATGCTAAATCGATGTTAATGAAAATATCCAACATCAATCCTAATAATCTTTAGTTTAAAAAAATATAATAAAATTATAATAAAATTCCACAAAATGGTTACTATGTCAGAAATATGCAAATTAAAATAATGTTATTCTGAAATACAAAAGAAGTTCATTTTATTATGGTTGTATTACTTGAGAGTTTGAAAAAGCATTTTAGTTTTATTATAGACTGTTTACTAGGTACATCATAAATATGCAAATTAAAAAAAAAAAAATAGTGTTTAGATAGCTTTCCTATTGTAGTTTGCTAAAAAAATATTTTTAGTTAGATACTTCCTAAAATTTTGGAAAACCGTTTAGTAGAAACATATTGTTTAGATTAAGAGTATTTCTATATAGTATTAGTACTGTACATTTTCAAAATGTAAAGCTTTTATATATATATATATATATATATATATATATATATATATATATATATATATATATATATATATATATATAATATATATATATATATATATATATCGGTTTGATTATAATATTACTTTATA